CCAGTTGTTAAATCCTTTTCAAAAGGCTAGCGCAAGTTCGTGACACCAAGCGCAGCCCAGCGCAAGTTGTGTCATAGCTAGCACAGCTATCGTAGCTGTCATACAGGGTGGACAAAAAAAATCATGAGCCCCTACAAGGGATTTTTAATTTTTCAAAAATATATATGAAGCTTCCTTAAAGCTAGCGCAGATAAAATTCGAGCAACCGCATTACCCCTTTATAACATAAACACATACAGGTATTTATTCGGGAGGCGGCTAGAGTGCCGCTAGCCCCCCCCCCCCCCCACCCCAGTTGTTAAATCCTTTCCAAAATGCTAGCGGAAGTTCTTGACACTTAGCGTAAGTTGTGTCGTAGCTAGCGCAGCTATAGTAAGTGAATGTTATACAGGGTGAACTATGAAATCTTACAAAATGTCGCCAGCTCCAAGACAAGATTTAACGTTTACAAGCGCTATCTATTCGCAAAGTTATACTTTTTCCTTTATAGTCGGGCCGGAATCAGAACAAATCAGAAAACAGAAAACAGTGAAATTCAAACCTAATATGAGAAACACATACATCAGGGATGTCGATTTTTAATCGATACTTTTGAAGATCGATTATTTTTTTCTTGAATCGATCTAAACCATTTTTTGATCTCCATGAGTACTTTTTATTTTTTATTTCGAAAATATGTATATTTATTTATGTTTCATGAAGATTTTTTTAAATATTTTGTTCGATTTAAGAATTTATTATTAATTCAACGTTTTTGGGAAAAGACTATACCTATTTTTGTCAAGATACTCGAGTTTTCTGAACAACAATATCAATACCAGAATCGAAAATCGATTCTTTTGTGAAAGATCGACATCCCTGACATACATGCCACCGCCTGGGATCACTAAATACATTCAACCAACGTAATTCTTAATTGGTGATAAAAAAAAGTACTAGCTCTTGCTTCACAAACCTGACAAACCCCACCGCCACCACCACTAAAAATGTCGAAAATATTCAGTATCGATATATCGACGAACTAAATATCGATATGTCGTTGCCATCCCTAAAGTCACTACAGTGACAATAAGGGCGAATTCTCATGAGCGTAAGTTGACCTTTCTGGCGTAATCACGTGGTAATATGGTGTTATTTGATTGGTCAAATCTCCAGCATGGCGAATATTTTACCAATAAAATCCAACCATTTTCTCACGTGATTACGCCAGAAATGTCAACTTACGCTCATGAGAACTCGCTCTAAACCTAACACAGTGGCGACAATAGAGGTCCCGCCGCCACTTTGTGGCTTTCCTCTTGCTAATTTTAAATACGAATATATAGGATTTAAATGGACATTTATCATACAAAATTGAAAACAATGTATTTGATGACCATTATTAGGTATATCAAATACGTTGTTTTCAATTTGTTATGATCGATGTCCATAAATCGTATATATTCATATTTAAAATTAGCAAGAGTTACGCCACAAAGTGAACACAGTTCATTAATATGAACATATTATAGGATTTTAAAAAACCAATCATAAATAAGACTGCAATTATTGTCGCCACTGTGGTAATACAGTCACTGTACAACCCACTAGTTGCGCGCGCATCAAGGTTGAAAAAGATACCTACCTCAATTTTTTAATTTCTTTGTGAGGTTAAGTTTTAGATACCTACTTCGCGAATAGATAGCGCTTGTAAACGTTAAATCTTGTCTTGGAGCTGGCGACATTTTGTAAGATTTCATAGTTCACCCTGTATAACATTTACTTACTATAGCTGCGCTAGCTACGACACAACTTACGCTAAGTGTCAAGAACTTCCGCTAGCATTTTGGAAAGGATTTAATAACTGGGGGGGGGGCTAGCGGCAGAGCGGCACTCTAGCCGCCTCCCGAATAAATACCTGTATGTGTGTATGTTTTAAAGGGGTAATGCGGTTGCTCGAATTTTACCTGCGCTAGCTTTAAGGAAGCTTCATATATATTTTTGAAAAATTAAAAATCACTTGTAGGGGCTCATGATTTTTTTGTCCACCCTGGATGACAGCTACGATAGCTGCGCTAGCTATGACACAACTTGCGCTAGGTGTCACGAACTTGCGCCAGCCTTTTGAAAAGGATTTAACAACTGGGGGGGGCTAGCGTTGATTTAGCCCCCCCCCCGAATAAATACCTGTATATGTTTTAAAGGGGTAATGCGGTTGCTCAAATTTTACCTGCGCTAGCTTTAAGGAAGCTCCATATATATTTTTGAAAAATTGAAAATCACTTGTAGTGGCTCATGATTTTTTTTGTCCACCCTGTATGACAGCTACGATAGCTGCGCTAGCTATGACACAACTTGCGCTAGGTGTTACGAATGTGCGCCAGCATTTTTGAGAAGATCGAATAACTGGGGGGGGCTAGCGTCACCCTAGCCCCCCCCCCCCCCTCGAATATAAAGCCACATATCTTTTGACCTGTAGCTGCGCTAGCTTTCGAAAAAGTTGCGCTAGGTGGCGCTAGCCCTGGAGAACGAGGGCTAGCGTTTTGGATAAAAATTATCAACTGGGGGGGGCCAGGTCTACTGAGCCATTAAACAAGCTGTTTATGTCCTCCTGCGGGGTTATAAAATCCCAACACTGCCGTTCCAAACAATCATACATTCTTCTCATACCTGCTCTTGTGAATGGGCGATATTTTTTATGTTCGGTTTCCATATTCCGTGGTGTTATATTTATTGAAATTTCAACAGCGAAGTGGTCTGACAGAAGAGGGTCGTACACATTGGTGCGGTACTCTAAAATATCGACAAAATTAACAAAATTATCATCTATACAATTAACCACATTTGTTTTCTGGAATATTTGCTGATACAGGTTGAAGCTATATAGAAAACTAACATTGCATCTTTTTACTTATTAAAATTCAAGCTTTTTTTCTTTTGGATATACAGACCACCCCACAGCAACAGCGAAATTTTTCTTACAGAATTTGTCAGGCTACTTGAACACCAGAAAACACATGTGTTATAATACGAGATGTTAATCTTGGCTTATTGAAACGCTCACAAACTATCGATAACTACAGAAATTTAATTGAAATAAATGCTTTTAAAGTGCAAAATATAATGCCACAGAATGCAACCAAAACAACAACAAACACAGCATCCATCATTGACGATGTGATAACAAATAAATGCTTACCCTGTAAGTAATTAACCTATATATAGAAGTGAAGAAGGAAATAAGTACCTATGAGGAAAAAGTAAAAAAATAAAAAACAATATCTTATAGAAAAAATTTGGCTGGACAGAGTGAAATAAAAAATGGACAAATATTAAACAGAAACTTTTCGAGAACTCGCACAGATTATTGATACAACTAAACCAGTCCAGTAGTTATCTTGCCAATTATTTCACTATACAGCTCAAATTAATGCACCATTAATTGTCTTGCTTTGCTAAATGATCCCATTAATCAACTCAAATTAATGCACCAATAATCTAATCTATCTAATCAGCCCCAAACTTCGACCTATCGACATAGGCCTCTCCTTTATGCCTAGACGCTTCTCTATCGGGCGATATGCATCCATTGTTTCTTTAGATCATCTGATGATGCTTTTGTGGTCTACCTCTTTCTCTCGCATGATTCTATGGTCCGCAATGTATAATTAATTTGTTCCATCTGTCTTTCTACTTCCCTCGGTAGTCGGTACTCGGTAGTAGAGGAAATATTGTAATCACATAAAAGATTTTTTTACATTTATACGTTTTTAGGTCCCTATTACAAAAATCATGATTTCTCAATTCCGTCAGTCTGTCTGTCGGTCTGTTGGCGCTTGTAGCTCAATAATGGCTTATAGCAGAACAACAATTTTTGGTATACACCTTGGACACCTACCGTCAATGGTAATGTAAGAATTTTCGTCGGGGTTTTCGTTCGCAGATACACAGGGTGTCCTAAAAACTATGTGTCACTAACAAGACCGGTAAATGATTCAAAGATGGGTATATTAGCGAAAAGTTATCATTCTTGGAGTTTTTATTCCTTTTCAAGATATGAGGCCCTTTGTGTTCAAAAATATTTTGTCGTATTTTTTCAAAACCGCCAGAAGAATACTTTATATTTGAAAGTTCCTTGGGACCTGAATTTTTGATATTTATCGAAAAAATTGGTAAAAGCCTTTAACCATGACTTCCCTCAGCAATCATTAGACCCCAATCTTGTAGAACAGATGAACCTAAAGAACTTTCAAATTCAAACTTTTCTTCCAAATAAGTAGTTTTGAAAATATACAAAAAAAATAACGGTAAAAATTCGAGACTCTTAAGATAGTAGGATGGTTAACAGTAAGGCACAACGGGCCAGTCGAACTCGAACAGCAAAAATTGAAAGGGGCTGGTCGAAGGCAGAACTTCTCGTTCATATTAGAACGAACAGAGAGCAACTTCTTATTAGTAACGGCCAAACACCAGAATGTCAGCATTCAAAGCAACAATTTAATTTATAAAGAGATGGTAGGTAGCATTTATCATGCTACAACTTAGGTATACAAAAACATTCAATCAAGAAATCTCTAGAATCATGTAAATACTTGTTTATGCGCTTGGGTCGTCAACAGTTGCAGAACAATGAAATTTTCGTAACATTTGGTTTTAGAATTTGTCCCAGACACAAATATTCTTTTACTATTTTTTTTAAATTATAATTCATCTTTTGCCCTATTTTGATCGAATCATTGCCTATCCAGTTCTTTCATCATTTTTTGTAGTTATTCTCTTTTGGACCAAATCTATCCCATTTCAATTTTTTAAATATATTTCCTGCTTGATTGATTAGCATAGCTGATATCTCCTTGACTGACTGCCCGTTTTATTTTTATAGTCTCAGTTGATTGTACTAGTTTAATAATTAATTGTTGTTACATTGTCTTATAATATGTTCAATATTATACCAGTATATTTATGGTCGAAGTGTTGAAATACTTTTTTCATTATTAATTGACAAGTGCTCTTTTTTACAGATGAGCTAGAAAGCGAGAAAGAGTTCTACAAAGCTAGGCGCCTTCCAAATCCCAAGGATATTCCTATAGCCAATGGTGAAACTAAAGGAGATCATGAAATTGATCCTCATGCAGAGTCAGATTATCATCGACAGGATGAGCAAGTCAACGTTTGCTTGGAATGTGTCAGTTCCAGCCTAAAAGTTCTTAAAAGGCGTTTCATAAGATGTTCTGCTCAAGCAACTATTTTACATTTGAAAAAGTTTGTAGCAATGAAAGTTCTCAATGGAATGGAAATGTATAGAGATATAGATATTCTTTGTAATGACGAATTATTAGGGAAAGATCATACCCTAAAATTTGTATATGTTACAAGATGGAGGTTTCAAAACCCTCCATTGACCTTACAGTACCGACCTAGAATTGATATTTGAGGTGAATGTGTAATGTGTAATCAAGCCTAAAGGATGTGCAACTACTAATAGAACATTAAGTATTTTTTAGATTATATTGAAAAAATTAAGAAGAAACTCTAACTGTCCTCCGTCCATGCACAAAAATTTATTGTGTGGCTAAAACAATATTTTTTGTACGAGTGGGTAAAGTACTTAGTTTATGTACTGCTGCATAAAATGAAGGTTTCCAAAACAGGCTCTCCTTTACGCATTTTGAACTTTTTCTGTGATCGGCAAGCAAAGATGAAATGGCAGGCAGTCTCAAGTTTTCGAAAATAAATTAACACTGATAAGGTCATCAGGTGCAGCCCTGAAATTTTCTATACATATTGTTTATTCTATAAAAATATGTTTGACAAACTTAATTTTATTCACCAGTTTATGTCGTGATTAAAGCTAATGAAACATTCCAGAAGAGCCATATTTGCTCACAAGCTAAGGTTTACACCTGTAATAATATGTATATTTTAGGAGGTTGCTCTAATGCTAATTAACAAAATCACAAAACACTTTTTAATTATGCCAGTGGTGCCTAGAAAGCAACTGAAATACTTACTGTATTTATTAATTTTTTTAAGGGCCGGTTTTTTCACAGGTATGCAATCTGACTGATAAAAACGCAATCTGTAATCCCATTGGTCGGCCATTTATCCGCCCACCAATGGAATTATAGAACGGTGAATTTATCTTGCAGAAAATTACCAGCAAGTTTATCTGAAGATGAATAAACCGGGCCTACACTTTGGGCCAAATTTATTTGGAACCCAATTTGGCTCTGAATATATTTTTTTTCAATGTGGCGGATTTTTGTGTGAATGTTGGGGGTGCCTTTCTTTAATTGTAGAAAAAATATCTAATCAAAATGTACAGGTGGAGCCAAGTAAGAAGCAGTATTTTTAATCATTGCCTTTGGGGCTGTTGCAAAGTTAAATTTTTTACTCTAAAACTACATAAATTGAAAATATTAAGAAAATATCAGAGACTGTTTTTCATTTTGATTTTGAAAAAAAGAAGACACACCATAAAATAGGTCTAAAAATGAAATTGAGTGTGTGAATAACAGTTCCTCTCTTTCCCCGTTTCGCCGGTCGAGGCATCAAATCATCTTTACCAGCCTTCTTGGCAGTTTGTTTTCTTGCCTGTTTTGACATCAAGTCCTTATTTTTATCAGCCTTGCCGCTTGTCCCCCCTTCTCGTTTAGCTTAGCATTCACCTCTTTAGAATTTCCATCACTATCACTAGTCTCAAAAGTTAGTTTTCTTCCCTGATTTCTATTGCCCCTTCTGGATGTCTATTCTCAAAACCGGGGAAATATAAATATGGGCGAATAAGATGTAACCTTTGTTCTCATGAGAATGCTGCTACTCTGTTTCGAGAATAAGGGCCCTGTTGGTTTGTTTCCTTCCCCGCTTAGCTGTCTTTTGCTTCCTTCTTGGATTTCTCCGTCTGGAAGCGAGCCTGCTAGATCCAGGCGGGGGTCCAGGTAACTGAGCACCTGATGGTTACCCCAAGTTCATGCTTAGAGCGTCGACCATAGAAAAATTAGGTTTTGACTCAATGGTTCCGCCACCTTTCATAACTCGAAAAGTGAAAATATCCCTAATTATATTATAATCAGGTTCTGATTCATGCATATTAATGCATTGAAAATAACTAAAAAGTTTCTCATGCTAGATAATGAAATAAAATATTTGTCTCACTTGGATGTTTTTTGAGGCAAAGCAAGTATTTAATGTGTCACTTGCTGAAATCATGTATTGTTCTTTGAGGCGTTGGACATGCGAAGGAGAGAAGACAGGATTCTCCCAGGGCAAAGTACACATTACTAGATAATTAAGTTATACGCCAATATTTCCAGATCAGCTCTTCTAGTTGCAACTAATAAAATTTTAAAGTATTATGACAAATTGAAAAATATCAAAATTTACTTCTGCTGGTGTAATCTATTGGGCCATGATGCGCTCTAGAAGAATCTTGTTTAAATTCTTTGTCAACAGAATATTCACAGGCCAAACCAAAATCGACTAAGTACCTGTTCATTATCGCTTTCATCGCTTGTACCTATCATTATATTAGGCGATTTAATATCATAGTGGACATACACATACACTCATGAACATATTGCAGAACATCAACCTAAGAAAGCAATTTCTGTATACCAAAAGAAATTAAAAAAAAAAAAAACGTGTTACTAGCTGAATAACAATTTTGGAAACTGTGTCAATTGGAGAGATATTGTTGTTTCTCATACAATTTTATAAAAATTATTTGAAATTATTAAGAAAATATTGGAGAAGAGGATAAGAAAATTTTTTTCGATAAACTTCAGGTTTTGCCTTAAAAACGTATTTTTTTCGAAAACTTTGTTGAATAATGTCACACAGTGTTACACTTATAATACAAATGTATGGTAATATTATTTAACAAAGTTTTGGAAGAAAATACGTTTTTAAAACAAAACCTGAAGTTTAGCGAAACATTTTTTCATAGCCTTTTCTCTGATATTTTCTTAATATTTTCAAATAATTAATGTAGTTTTAGAGTGAACAATTTAATACTGCTTCTTACTTGGCTTTCCCTGTACATTTTGGTTAGATATTTTCTCTACAATTAAGGAAATGCCGCCCTAATATTCACACAAAATTTCCCAAAAATCAACCAAATTAAGAAAAAAACATATTCAGAGCCAAAATGGGTTCCAAATAAATTTGGCCTACAGTGCAAGTGTGGCAAATTTTTTATTTCCTCCACTTCTCATGCTGCACTTCAAATACAGTAAAATAAGTGGAAATTTGCCAGATTTTGAATCAATTCTTTAAGTTACTAGCTGCGGGCATACTACCCAAATATATTGGCTTTTCTGGGACATTCTGTGTGAAAGCAATCTAAGGTGAAAGCACACATTATTTACTTAAAGTTAAAATTGATTATACAAACTGATTTATAATTCACCTACCTTTTCACAAATCAATGACTAAAATTATTTCAAAATGTGTAAAGAAAAAGGAACCTTGATAAATTACTTTTTTTTTGAACTTTTACATATGCTTTGTTGACTATACAAAAATGTGTATTGAAATTTATATGCAAACCCAGTGAGTTTTGAGGAGGCAATAACATATAGGATGTTAGTTTTAAGTTTTTAATTATATCCCCATGGGAATGTACATGTTTGGCCTTTGTCGGCTTAAACCTATATTTTGCCAATTATCTGTACCACAAAGGAGTGTGTCGAAATCATTGCTGAACCAAGTGAATGTGCTATCAATAACATGACGTCAGTTGCAACTATCTGACAAAATATGACCAAAAAAATGCCATTTCCTTATCCACTCCTAAAAAGTACATCGTTGTTGAAAATAACGAGAGGTAATTCAGAGGCAAAAAAATGCATTGGATTTTTTCCTGCAACAAAATAATGTGTCAATCACAGTTTATATGGTAGCAATTAGATATAGACTGTCAATTCTTAATATCTGGAAAAATATGACTAGTAATTTTCCTTTACTTACTTTGAGAGTAGATATGTAGGTATATCCTTATTAAATGTTTTCCACTTTTTTGCACCTACGCATTGTTTTGGCAGAAATTTAGACACATTCTGTATTCCACTACTAACTATTTTGTAAGATCCTGTGATATTTTATTTTAAATATTAGCTTTAATCAGTTTGATAATATTACTCTATTTGTTGCGTGAATAAATTTATTTATAGTCTGCCAAGAGAAGATCAAGAGGAAAAGAAATAAAAGAGAATCACTTTGCATCATTTTCATTGTGACAGTTGAATAGTTTGCCAGGTAGCCGTATCTTGGGCTGAGTCTATTCGATTTTGTCTGGCTTTAGGTTTATACTTATAATTAAAATATTATTTTATTATAAATTATAATTGAGAAAGAAAATCCTATATTTTATTGCAATAATTTTAGTGCAAATAAATAATGAAACAATTATAAATACAATTTTCAATTATATTTTTTTTGTTTTTATTTTTTTGCGGTTGGCACACGGACGACATGACCAGCTTAGCCAATCTGATGGATGAGTATTGACTCAGGCTCAATGCTGGTGGAATTGGTTTTCTCAAGGATACTGGTTTGTTCGCCGGTCCTGTCAGTTTATTTGGAGTGTCCTTCTCAAGTAGGGCTCATGGGCGTCGTTTGGGGGGGGCAAGGGGGGCATTTGCCCCCCCCCTAGCCCCGCCTAGAAATAGTCTTTTGAACAAGAAAGAAGTAAAAGATAGTTCGTATTCGTATTACTTTTTCCCATTTTTTCAAAATTTGTTAGGTACCTTTTTTATAGTCTGGCGTAAAGACAATTACCTAAAGCTACGTTTACACTTGGAAAGTAGGTACTTGCCGTCACTAAACTTATTCATTGTTTTGTGTTTACATATTTTCAAGTTTATTTGCCAAACAGTAGAAAATAAAATGGCTCCAAGTAGGGTAGTGCGTGCTAGAACGCAAGAAAAATAGGAAAAAACGAGTTTTCCTGACTTTCCTCTCGGACACGTCAATTTTTATTTTTTGTTCTTCCTGAAAAATGAAAATTGACGTGTCCGAGAGGAAAGTCAGGAAAGGGCTAATTTTACTAATTTTAGAATAACAGGGTCAGAAGATTATTTCCTATTTAGCCCATGACAACTTTGACAGTGAATGTCTTGAGAACTAATCATTCGATTTTTAAAAAAAATACGCAGTTGTAACGAGAATCAAAATACCTTTAAAACAATTAAGGTACCTTCAAACGGGGTCTAGTGAATCAAAAATTGCGTTTTTTTGTTGAAATCTTTGTAGCTATCGAAACAAAAAATATGCAAAAAATAATCTATATTCAAGCACAATTTCCAAAATATTCAACAAAATATTGGCCCTTTTCGAGTATGGGAACGGGAACCCCCCTTTTTTTTGGGTCAAAGGTTGATTTTCTTTACCTCTACCACTGTGGTGTAAAGTGAATCGCCCGTTAAAACTTGCGATCTATTCATTTTAGACTAATAGTGCGTAGAGTGAATCAATTCAGATTTACCTACATAAGTTTTGCGCCTGGTTCTGAAAATTTTACTGTATCATTTCATAGCTTAACTCAGCTCCCCAGGCAGCAGAATCATGGGAGACGTCAGCATGACCATTTAAGTGACGTCTAGATGACGTCACAATGTCACAGTCATAATGACGTCAGGTGGTGACGTCAATCTGACGTCAATTTATTCATTAATTCCACATCAAAATGACGTCAGTTTCACGTCAGAATGACGTCAAATAAACGTCAATTTGTCGTTTATTTTTTTCAGGAAATATGGAACGGGTGCTTTTCTATCTTTGATATCATTTTGATCACCTTCTACATAATCAATGAACATACAGGTGATCAAAATGATATTAAAGATAAAAACACAGGGTACAAAAAATAAAATATGAGCTGCATTTTTTCAAATTCATTTATTGTTTAAAAAAAAAAAAAACAAAAAAAAAGAACATTCTATTTAAAAAAATAAATAGGGCAATCTAAATCCTTGTATGTACAGGGTGTCCGAATTTGGATGGTTTTAATAGGAAACATCAATTTTTGAGCAAGATACAAAAAAATGAACCCCCCACTCCGAGGCTCAAATTTCATAAAATTTTGATGTGCAAACCGCATTTTGATATCTTCAACCGTTTAGCCGCTAGATGACGATTCTCGATTTTGAGCAATAATGTGAAACCATCTTAACTTTTTTGTTTGTGAAAATTATAGATTTCCGTAATAACTTTCTGGAAGCACTTTTTCAAGCAGAATTCAGTGACGTTCTCAGTTTTTTTCTAGTTGGTCCCAACTCCGAGATATTGACCAAAGTCTGGTTTTTTTCAATAGGACACTCTCTATATTAATAGCTCATTAGAAAGCTCGGCTTTTTCTGATTTCAATGGTATAAAGTTCGATAGGTTTATCTCTAATAGTTTTCGAGAAAAAAAATTATTTGGGTTTTTGTCATAAGCAGCAATGTGTAAGAAAAGGACTTTATATGTGTAAGGAAACTGAGAAAGGTCTGTTTCTAACTCATTGTTTCTTATGACAAAAGCAGATTTTTTTTTTTTTTTTCTCGAAAATTGTTAGAGATAAACCTTTCGAAATTTGTTTCATTGAAATCAGCAAAAGCAGAGCTTTCTAATGAGCTTTTAATATATAGGGTGTCTCATTGAAAAAAATCGGATTTTGGTCAATATCTTGAAATCGAGGCCCAATAGAAAAAAACTGAAAACGTCACTGAATTCTGCTTGAAAAAGTGCTTCTAGGAAGTTTTTACGGAAACCAGTTATTATTATAAACAAAAAAGTTACGAAGATTTCACAGTATTGCTTAAAATCGAGAATCGCCCTCTAGCGGCTAAACGGTTGAAGATATCAAAATGCGGTTTGCACCAATCAAAATTTTAAGAAATTTGAGCCTCGGAGTGGGGGGTTCATTTTTTTGTATCTCGCTCAGAAATTGACGTTTCCTATTAAAACCATCCAAATTCGGACACCCTGTACAGTGTGGTCATTTTCTCTTGATAACATTTTAAACTGTCATAATTTCTTTATTTTTAAAGATTTAAATAGGTAAATAAAAAAACATACTGTAAGGTTGTTTTCCAAGCTTAGATAGGATGCCCCTCAGCGAAACTGGTTCACAACCACAATTCCCCTGATATCATTTGATTTTAGAGAAAACCCCCACTTTGCGCATATCAGAAGCAAAGTTCAACCGTTGTTCAAGATAGTCCTTGATGCGAGCTTCTTTGTTCCTCATTTAGCACGGGTTGGCGAGGCGACCATATTTCAAAGAGCGGATCGGGTGAAATCGTCCCTGAATGGTCTTAAACGGCACTTCGTATTGCTCAGAAGTTTTGCGCATGGACAAGCGCAAAGCTTCTGAGCATTTGCCCTGCTGAGGCTCTAAGTTTTTTTGTGATTTTAGGCATTCAGTCAAATACAGCTTCAAAAAATTATTTCGGATGTGAAAAAAATAGGGGTAGGTAGTTTTTCTGTAGCCTCTCAAACACATTATTCATTTCAAATTCCCGATAAAAATTTATTTCAATTTACTCTCCGGTAAATTCCTGTTTATTTTTGTTCTATTTTGCATCTGATTCATGTTATCCCCTCTTGTGTTCATTTCAGGTTCAAAAAATCATATTTAGGTGACTATAAGTAAAATTAAAAAAACCTTCGAGAATATGTTGCCTGCTCTGCATGACTGGGTTACACTTTTTATCAGTCATATGTCCAGAAAACATACCCCTTTGCTCCTACAACTGAACCTTTTCGACTTTTACCCATATTACAAAAAAAAGGTGCATTTAAAAAACGTTCTTCCTGGTTCATATGTTTTCGAAACCGACGGCATACCACCTCACCAGCATCAGTAAATAAAAGTTACGTACGAATATCATGCGAACACCGAATGGAGGTCAAAAATATGGAGTCTACGCATTAGAATTTAAAAATTCATCTAGGTGATTCACTTCACCCATACTGATTCATCTAACCTTGTTTGACGGTACCACTACGTGACCCATCTTCCCTATCTAAAAAACAGGGGTGAAAGTCACAACACCCAGGGGGTGCACCCTGGCGAAATACCTTGAAGAAAAAAATTACGTGTCCGAGCTATTTTTTTTAAATCGAGCTTGAAATACCCTAAAACGCCTCTGTTTCGATGTTCGTGAATCACCATGTATAGTTCATTGTGTACAGCCACAGTACAGCAGACTCCCTCTAGTCACCCTATGTGGGTCGTGGGCAAGGATGAAACACACTACTACTACAGAGCCGCTTTCCAGTATGGGAGTGTGACGCTCGGAGCTACTCAGAGCGTTGAGCCCCCGAGCTATACGTACGGACAAACGTCACACGTCATGATATTGGAACGGTAGAAATCTAGTGCGTGGCGCTCCCGGGGTGCTCTAGAGAGCGCCAATGTGCATACTGGAAAGCAGCTCAGGATAGTCTATCCTCATAGTCATAAGGCTTGTGTGGAACAAATCCTCCTATCCTGAATCACCAGCTGTGACGTGGCTGTTCGAACAATTGACGACTTAGTTATGACGTCAGAAATGGTGACACACCAATATGGCGTCGATTACCAAAAACGAGGCCGATAAGCAATCCTGTAGATGTGTATCATCGTTGGATCGTGGGTCGTTCGTCGAAGGTCGTAGTTCTCTCCTGAAACGCCATGCGCAGCGTCGTAGTCAATAGGTATATTCTTTCGTTCTGAACAAACCTGATTGTTTTCACTTTATCTGATTGCGTTCACTTGTGGCTTCTTCTTTCGTCTCCGGTCAGTTCCCCCACTCCACCTTTTAAACTGAATAAAGTGAACGGATGTTTGCTGTCCCCTTTTCCCTCGAGCACAACCTGAACACAAATAAAGTAAAACTGAAGTTCAGATTCAGTTAATTCAGTTTCACTTGTTCATTTCGTTCAGAACGGAAGAATATTACTAATATATATCGTCTGTCCCTGTGTTTGTACGGTACAGGATATCCAGGGCCGGTTCTACCCCTTTGGCCGCCCTCGTGCAAGAGCTTATTTTGCCGCCCCCCATGAGGAACTTTTTGCTTCGGGGGAGGGGAATTTATCACAAGTTTTCACAAATAACTTGACACTCAGCCCCTCTAAAATTTTGGAAATTGGATTAAATAAAAATGGATTCTTATGCAATCTGAAGTGTGCTGAACTGTGCTGTATTAGGTTTTTCGGAAAATTTCCATATTCAATTATTTTCCGACAAAATCCTACTGGGGACGCTAACTTGACACTCAGCCCCCCCAAAATTTTGGAAATCAGATCAAACAAAACTGGATTCTTATGCGATCTGAAGTGTGTTATTGAACTGTGCTGTATCAGATTTTTCTGAAAATTTTCATATTTGGTAATTTCCGAACAAAATACTACTGGAGGGCTTACTTGACGCTCAGCCTCCCTAAAATTGTGGAAATCAGATC